CAGTCATTTCCTAAACTGGCTAATGTCTTATAGATGGAGTGACCAATTGCTGCCTTTTTGGTCCAGAGACAAACAAAGAAGGGCTCAGGAGAATTTTGGAGTTGGAACTTGGGAATCATAACACTTCTTTGGAAGGGGCTAGAATGAATTAGCTGGTATGTGACAAGGTGACACAGTGCAGTTGCTGAACCTCTGGCTTCTCTCCTGCCCTTGAGGACTTGACTGATGTCACGTTTGGGGTTGGCAGATGATTTTTATTCTGGAATGTTGAGGTAGGGTGATTGAGGATGATGAATCCAGGGGAATCAGTGGATAAATGTATTTAGATAAATCTGATGGAGAGGTTAAGGCCAATTATCTTAGGATTTGGCCTATTGTTTAAAGTTTCTATGAATAATGGTGTTATTAGTTATCTGTTGCCGTGTAACAAATTTCCCCAAAAGTTAGAGGCTTAAAACAACAATATTAATTTATTTATCTCTTATGGTTTCTGTGTGTACTTGTTTCTTATTGAGACTGTAACTAATTATCATAAATTTACTAGCTTAAAAAAAGGATTTATTACCTTATAGTTTTGGAGATCAGAAATTCAAAATGCATGTTATGGGCTAAAAATGGAGGTGTTAACAGAGTACACTCCTCTGGGAGGCTCTGTGGAACTCATTTCTTGCTTTTCCCATTTTCTAGAGGCTGCCCACTTTCCTTGGCTCATGGCCACATTGTTCTGATCTCTGTGCTGACATCACATTTCCTTCTCTGACTATTGGCTCTCTCCCGCGTCCTTCTTTAAAGGACTCTTGTGATGACAGGGGGAAGGACTCTTGTGATAACAGGGGGCCCACCCAGATAAGCTAGGATAATATCCCTATCATAAGGTCCTTAATCATATCTGCAAAGTTGATTTTGCCATAGAAGGTGACACATTCAAAGGTTCCAGAGAGTGGGATGTGGACATCTTTGGAGGAACTTTATTCTGTTTACCACACTGTGGGTCAGAAATTCAGGAATGGCTTGACTGGGGGGTTTTCATGTCTCACTTAAGGTTGTAGCCAAGAATCTGCTCCAAAGGTAGGCTATTCACATGAAGGGCAAGTTGATTCTGCCTGCTGTTAGGGGGGCCACAGTTCCTTTCCAGCTGAGCCTCTCCACAGGGCTAGTTGAGTGTCACCACAACATGGCAGCTGGCTTTGCCCAGAGCCGGAGATTCAAGAGACCACAGTAGAAATTACAATGCCTTTTTTGACCTTTGCTTTGTAAACCACAAGCTATTATTTCCACAGCATTCTATTGGTCACACAAGTCAGCCCTTAATGAATGTGAGAGGAAAAATAAGGATCATTAGGACAGACTGTCTTGAGGAATGGCCATCCCAAATGGTAATTATCACCCTTCTTTAGATATAAGAATTTTCCCAGATTGTGAAGATTTTTCAAAGCATCCTCTATCTTCAGAAAAAGTCCACAAAATCATGTATGTGTGTTTTTCATTATAAAATTAATGTAACAATATAAAACTAACCCCTTTCCTAACCATAAATTATTTTCAATTTTGCATATTTTATGAAGGTTTTGTCTGTAAAAATGTTTTACACATTATAGTATTATTGTTATGATGCACATAAAATTTTGCAGTATGATGATGACTAGGTTGAGTCCATGGTCTCCAGAACCAGAGGAACCAGGTTCAAAACCCAGTTTCACCACTTATTATCTATGTGAGCATGAGAAAGTGACTCAACTTTGTTTTGCCTTCATTTTCTTATCAGCAACATGAAGATAATAATACCTCTAGGGCTGGTGTGAAAATTAAGAGTTAACATATTTGAAGCATTAGTGCCCAGTACTTACAAGGGCTAAATTAAAAGCTTGCTATTATTGTTTTTACTATTATTTCTCTTAGCATTATATTAGAAAACAGTATTATGGGTTGAACTGTATCTTCTCCAAACAAAGGTATGTTGAGGTTTTAATACCCCTGCCTCAGAATGTGACCTTGTTTGGAGATAGGGTATTTTGTTTTCTAATTTCAGATTAATATTATGGTACAAATGATAATGTTACATTGTTTGCGTGTGTTAGGTAAAGTCCAAGTTGTAGTTGAGCCCTTCACCCAGGAGGTGAGTCATACACCCCTACATTGTGCCTGTTAGGTGAGAGCTTACCAATCCCCCTCCCACCTCCCTCCCTCTCTTCCTCCACTGGAATTTAAGTGTGTTTTTCTCTTGTGTGGGTGTGTATTAGTTCATCTACAGGTTTCGTATTAACATTGAGTATTAGTAATGGATATTTGCTTTTCCATTCTTGTGATGTTTTACTAAGGAGAATGTTTTCAACTCCACCTAGGTTAATACAAAAGTTGTAAAGTCTCAATGTTTTCTATGGTTGAATAGTATTCCATAGTATACATATACCACAGTTTGTTAATCGTTTACGGGTTGATGGGCACGTGGGTTGATCCCACATCTTGGTGATTGTCAATTGAGCTGTGATAAACATTCTGGTGCAAATGTCCTTATGGTAAAATGATTTTTTTTCTTCTGGGTACATGCCTAGCAATGGGATTGTGGGATCAAATGGAAGGTCTACTTTTAGCTCTTTGAAGAGGCTGTATTAGTTTGCAATCCCACCAACAGTGTAAAAGTATCCTGGAGAGGGGGTCTTGTTTTAGGTAATCAATTTAAAAGTAGGTTCTCAGAGTGGGCCATAATCCAATAGGACTGGTGTACTTACGGAGGGGAAATTTGGACACAGAGAGAGAAAGACACTCATAGAGGGAGGATGTTGAGAAGAGATACGAGAAGATGACACCCACTTACAAGCCAAAGAGAGAAGCCTGACCAGATCCTTCCCTCGTAGCCCTAAGAAGGAATCAACCCAGGCCAGGCACTATGGCTCATGCCTGTAACCCTAGTACTCTGGGAGGCCAAGGGGCATGGGTTGCTTGAGCTCAGGAGTTTGAGACCAGCCTGAGCAAGAGTGAGACCCCCTGTTTCTACTAAAGCTAGCTCAGTGTTGTGGCAGGTGCTCGTAGTCCCAGCTCCTCAGGAGGCTGAGGATCACTGGAACCCAGGAGTTTGAGGTTGCTGTGAGCTAGGCTAATGCCAGGGCAGTCTATCCAGGGCAACAGAGGGAGACTCTGTCGAATGAAAGAAAGGAAGGAAGGAAGGAGAGGAAAGGAAGGAAAGGAAGGAAGGGGGCAAAGAAGGAAGGATGGGAGGGTAGAGGGAGGGAAGGAGGGAGGGAAAGAAAAGAAAGGAAGGAAGGAAGCCTGAGCTAGAGTGAGACCCTGTCTCTAAAAATAGCCGGGCGTTGTGGCTGGCACCTGTAGTCCCAGCTACTCAGGAGGCTGAGGCAAGAGAATCGCTTAAGCCTGAGAGTTTGAGGTTGCTGTGAGCTGTGACACCATATCACTCTACATGGTGACAAAGTAAACCTCTGTCTCAAAAAAAAAAGAAAGAAAGAAAGAAAGAAACAAAAAGGGAGGGAAGGAATAAAAGAAAGAAAAGAAAGAAGGAAAGAAACCTTCCAACACCTTAATTTCTATCTTCCAAAAACATGAGAAGATAAATTTCTGTTGTTGAAGCCACCTGGTTTGTGGTACTTTATTACAACAGCACAAGCAAACTAATACAGACATTTTCTTATGGTGGTAAATGGCTTTTGTAATTGTGATTATAATGGGTATTTACACCTTTGAATCAATGTCTTAATTTCCTTAGCTATTCCCCAAGTGTGGGCATTTAGCAGGTTTTCATTGTTTCACTATTAGAGCTCAGGCAGAAATAAATATAGTAGCAAGAATGACTGCAGTCAGTGGTGTGCTGGAGATGAACTTGTGCTGGTTCATGAGAACTGCTTGTGTTTCTTCCCAATTCTGCATTCAATGACCTCACATGGGCAGCGTGAAATCAGCTATGGTGGGAGTATTTATACCAAGGAAATTGCAAACCCTACAAATCAGGGATAGTCCCCGGGAGAGCCAGCTGTGGAGCGCTCATCAGCCACCACTGACAGCAGCCAGTATGTGTTACATACTGACAGATTGCTGTACGCCTGGCTCTGTGCTCTGCTTTTTATTGCTTTTGCTCACAAAACTCTGAAGTAGGAAAATTATTACTTTCATTTTGCTGGTGAGGAAATGGAAGTTGAAGAACTTGTCTGAGGTCAGAGAGTTGGCTTAAGTGGCAAATACTGGACTCAAAATAATTTCTCTGAGGCTGACGTCCATGATTTTAACCATGATAGGCCAAGGATTGTTTCTCTCCCTTACTAAATTATTTCTTTAGGATAAATGATCAGGACTGGGGATTCCTAGACCCATGAATCTTTTTGTGTCTCAATGTGGTTGGCCACGTTGTTTTTATAAACAAAGGGAACGCTGGTGGCTTGCGTTGAAACATGACCACGGGGAGTCAAAGTCCTGTGTACTTATTTGACTCTCTGTGGCCTCTCCAGGGTTCTGAGCACTGTGCATCGTTTCATTTTCCATCATAGCTCCCAGCAATGAAGTCCAAGAGGGAGAAAACAAGTTGTTGTCTAAACCTTAAGACATCAGTAATGGCACGCGTACCATAACCCCAAACAGGTTCCTCCAGCCTTTTCATCTCAGTAAACATCCTGTAGGTTGCCTTGAAAAGTGACTCAGAACAAGTCCACTGCCCTGCCAGGGAATGGCGCCTGAGTCAAGTGATCTGTTGGGCCAGTGTGGCTCTCTGCACACTGACGTCAGCTGGGTATCCCAGCCTGTTTTCAGCCCCACGGTGACCAGTAGTAGCTGGTATGGGTGTTTCCCAGCTTGAGTTTCATAATGTCTCAGGGAAAGTAGTTGAATGCAAGAGGTAGGCTTGGACCAAGGAGGGTGGAACTCTGACTCCCAGAGCCAGGTTCTAGGAAAATCTAGACACAGACGAAATATGTGGCTCACAACTTTCAAACCTCCTCACTCAGCATTGTTTCCTTCTTTAGGGACACGAGTCACCCTCAGCAGGCTGCAATCTTTACCTCCATGTCCCCAACCTCCCAAACTTTGCTCCAAGTAAACATTTATACCAAGGGGCAAATAATCTTTTTCTATAATAATAACATGCCATCCAGTCCCCCACACAGAAGTTCTACAGGATGGGGGCGGGGGGGGCATTGTCCATTGTTCTCACTTACCTGGCATTTGGTAAGTGCTCAGTTATACCTATATGCATATAATAAAAAATAAATGGAAAGGCTGAGTGCAGTGGCTCACGCCTGTAATCCTAGCACTCTGGGAAGCAGGCAGATTGCTTGAGCTCAGGAGTTGGAGACTAGCCCAAGCAAGAATGAGACCCCATCTCTACTAAAAAACTAGCCAAACACTATGGCAGCCACCTGTAGGCCCAGCTACTTAGGAGGCTGAAGCAAGGGAGATCACTTGAGCCCAAGAGTTTGAGGTTGCTGTGAGCTATGATGCCATAGCACTCTACCCAGGGTAACAAAGTGAGACTCTGTCTCAAAAAAAAGGATAAAGTCAATATTATTATTTTGAATTATCAGCAATTTGTTTATAGTAGAAAATTTGGAAATAGAGGAGAGTATAGAGAAGAAATTAAAATCACCCATAAAAAATCATGCATAAATCTATCACCCCTTATTGCAAATAATGTTGGTGTTTTATTTTTTCTGGTAACTTTGATATCCAGTTCTATATATGTGTATACTTGCAGCTGTGAAAATCCTTTCCTAAAATACTGTAAACTGGTAAGAAGATGAATAACTTATGGTTTCCTACTAAGCGTCCTTTGGGTGGCCCCCAGGCATTCTCCCCTCCAGCCACTTCAGTGTCTTGCAGCCATCTGCTCACATCCTTGCCAGAGAGGGCAGCATTATCTTAGGGTATGATGAAATTTGCAAAATTTAATTAATCTTTAAAAGTGAGTCTGTGTTTGGCAGTTCCCCTGGGTAGAGGATGGGGAAGCAGTTTCACAACATCAAATAAACAACCAAAATGTGTTGGGTGTTGCAACTCCAAAAAGGCTGAGGATGATCCCAGCCCTGTGGCATTGCATGTGTGAGGGTAACCCTTCCAGCCCAGGGACCCTGCTCCTTCTATGACGAGCCCCTTCGTGTTACAATACTCTCAAAAGGCCTCTCTTTTGAACTCAAATTAGACCTCCCATTTGATTCTGCAATCCCATTTCTAGAGGCTGGCCCCATATACCGGAGGTGGTGGGTTCAAACCCAGCCTCAGCCAAAAACTGCAAAAAACCAAAAACAACAACAACAAAAAAACTTTATGTTTTGAATTTTTTCACAGCAGTACTATTTTAAAAACAGCAGGATTAGGAGAGACACTTTTGTTTTGTTTTTGTTTTTGTTTTTTTGAGACAGAGTCTTACTTTCTTTCCCTTGATAGCTCAGTGCAGCCTCAAACTGTTAGGCTCAAGTGATCCTCCTACCTCAGCCTCCAAAGTAGCTGGGACTACAGGCACCTGCCATGACGCCCAGCTGTGTTTTTTTCTTTAGAGACAGAGTCTTGCTCTTGCTCAGGTTGGTCATGAACTCCTGAGCTCAGGCAATCCACCTGCCTCGGCCTCCCAGAGTGCTAGGATTACAGGTGTGATCCACCTCGCTTGGCTCTAGAGATGCTTTTGTATCAGCTGCAGGAAATAGAAATGGGCCCGGTTTGCTCACAGCAGCAGTGCACTGTGGACAGACCAGGTCTGAAACTCGGATTCTGTTACATCTTTCCATTCATCACACCAACAGTGGTGTTTGGTTCCTCTTATGGATTGAATTGTATCTCCTCAAAATTCATACGTTGAAATTGTAACGTCCAGTACCTCAGAATGTGACCTTGTTTGGAAATAGGACCCTGGTACATGTAATTAGTTAAGATGGGGTTATATTAGAGTGCGCCCCAATACAGTATGACTACAAAAAGGGGGAATTGGGGCACGCAGGGAAACTCTGCATTAAGCTGAAGGCAGAGGTGAAGATGAGGAGCTTCAGAGATGGCCACAAACCACCGGAACCAGGGGACAGGTATGGAGGAGAGCCCCTCAGCAGAAGCCATTCACACTTTGAGGTTGGATTTCTAGCCTCCAGAACTGTGAGATAACATATTTCCGGCACCTAGTTTTTGCTACTTTTTAAAAATGGCAGCCCTGGGAAACTTTATATGCCCCCTTGTACGAACTTGGGAAGTCATGGAATCATGGGGAAAATTAATGATCTTGGTGTTTGGAGTCTCTCTGGTCATTCCAGCTTCCCCCTGCCCACTTTAGAAAGTGGTAATACTTGGGCAGAACTTAAGTTTTCCAAGAATGTGTCAGTAGTATGGCATTATTAAAGTGATGGTTATTCAGAGTAAGGTAAAATATGAAAACGTGTGATTAGGAAAACCTGGTATGTGCAGCATCCCTCATATTTTATGTATGCAAATTATATCCATATAGTCAAAGGATCTTATGCAAGTTACACCTATGCATATATACCGTGTTTCCCCAAAAAATAATTTTTTCTCAAGAAGACACACTAGGGCTTATTTTTAGGGACTGTCTTATTTTTATTAAGTATAATACAACAATCTACATTTATTCAAATACAGTTAAGTCATCTTCTTCTGGAACCTGACAGGGGGAACCGACCTTGTTGGTAGGCCGGTGCTAGTGATGTGTGAACTCCTTTCCCCTAGCCGTTCACATGTGCGCAATAGGATGCCTGCAACCGTGGTTACCACACATGCACCTGCGCAAGTGCGAATGGCTCAGAGAAAGGAGCTGTGGCAGATAAAAGGTATTCCAGTCTTCCTTACTGCTCCACCCTGAAATTCATGGCGTGGCTATGCAGATACGCTGCATAGCCACACCCATGACCAGGTCTTATTATCAGGTAGGGCTTATATTTAACAAATGCATAGAAATCCTTGCTAGGGCTTATTTTTTGGGTAGATCTTATTTTCGAGGAAACACGGTATACACACACACATACATGCATAGATTGTATCTATGTGTATGCACAAAGAAAATGATTGGAAGTGATTTTTATGTGATAAAGATGGCATTCATAGTCGCCAGATCCTTTCTTTCTGTAAGTTATCTTTATAATACATGTTTTAATTTGATTTTCTCAATAGCAAAAGGCTTAAAATGTTGCTTTTATGACATTTTGATATCAATAATGAATTGTCATTAAGTGCTCTATTTTGGGTACTGCATGGATGCATTCATTATTTATTCATTACTTTGATTTTGGGCATATCCTATGGCCTACATGTTGAGGAACAGAGGTGAAATCTGGCTCCTACTCTTTTTATGGAGCTTGTAATTCACTGAGAGAGACAAGGGACAATAAAGAAATGATCACAGCATAAACGGGAAATTTCAGGTAGTGCCAAGAAGTAAACTATAGGGGTGCTTGACACAGTCAGGGGATCTCAGGGGAAGTTTCCCCAAGGAAGTGATGTTTGCACTTAGATTTGTGGGGTAAGAGTGAATTAGATAACCAGATGAAGAAGGGCTGAGAAACTTAAGGCAGAAGGAAAAGCAAGTGCAAGGTCATAAGGCAAGAAGGGGCACAGGACAATTCCGGGACAGTCAAAAACCAGTGGTCTAGAAAAAAAAGCTATATGGATGGGCAGAGAGACAACCCAGGCCCTCATAGAAAGGGTTAGGAATTTTTAAAAATCTTCGTTTTTTTTCCATATGAAAAGAAGTTTATTTAGATTCAGAATCATCTAGTGACTGGACAGATATTAACCAACTTGGGCTCCAGAGCCACAGCAGGGCTTTCCTTGCCTCCACCCGCAGTGGACCAACCAGTGCCCTGGTTGGCCCTTGGGTGCTGGTTGGCTTTTGTGCTTTGAGACATTTTCCAGCTGAAGGCTATGATTATAATTTTCAGAAAATGTGCTCTGGCCTCAAGGGACTGGGGTGGGGGGGGGGTTCTTTGTACAAAAAGTGTTGTCCCAGGGGCTTCCCAAAGTACGCCTTTGGGCATTTTAGTGTAAACATTTTTATCTTAAGAGCAATGGGACGTCATTAAAAAGTTTTAAGCAAAGGTGATAAACAGACATATGACATGATTAGAAAATACTTTGGGGCTCAGTGCCCATAGCACAGTGGTTACAGTGCTAGCCATATAAACCGGGGATGGAGGGTTCGAACCTGGCCTGGGCCAACTAAACAACTGCGACAAAAAAATAACCGGGCATTGTGGCAGGTGCCTGTAGTCCCAGCTACTTGGGAGGCTGAGCCAAGAGAATCGCTTAAGCCCGAGAGTTGGAGGTTGCTGTGAGCTGTGACATCACAGCACTCTACCAAGGGCGACATAGTGAGACTCTGTCTCAAAAAACAAAGAAACAAACAATGATTTAATAATAATATAAAAAAAATAAGACAATTAAAAAATACTTCAGGATGAGATTACTCTAGCTGCAATGCAGAGGACCGATTAGAATAAGGGAAGATTACCAAGGAGGCAATTACGAATAGTTCTGTCAGGAGGTAATGGTAGTTAGGGCTAAGAAGAGATCATGGAGGCAAAGAGAAGGGAATGGAGTCTAGAGATATTTAGGAAGTAAATTTGATAGAACTGAGTGATGGATTAGTTATGGGGATGGGCAAGGGGGACTTTTCGAATGACAGAGTGAAGAGATTGGCAAATAACCTTCCCAAAAGACAATGATAAAACTAAACAAAATGATTACAGCAACTATATAAGGTTTCTGAAAATTGACCAAAGGCATACAACAAATTGAGAAGTGTTTATTCCAGAAAAATTTCAGAAAGGGGCAGTGGGAGTTTGTGGCATCCTTACTGAGGCTAGTTTCAAGCCTTCACTCAGTTTTCTTGACTGGTAGTTCCACTGGAGTGGGGCAAGCTTTAAAAACAGCAGCTACTCTGCTGGGAGAGTGGGGGGCCTGTTGTAATTTAGAGCAGATTTCCCCATGCCCATGGGTATGGTAAAAAATAGTTATCTTAACGGCAAGCAAGTGAGGAAGGCCAATATCATGGCTATTCCGAGGGTTGGGGCAAGCA